CACCAATTATGGCCTTCAGACGGCCAATGAAACCGTCACACGCTGCCCGAATGTTACTCTGCGGTATTTTGTCCATTCCCGGCGAAGCGCTTGCTTAAGGTGATCGACACTTTGGTATTTTTTAGTGCCAACCTTGCTTTCCAAAATACTCCAGACACAATAGTCCAACGGAGATTTTGGTGGTCATTGTGCGCTGGCAATGACGCGTGGAACCTCATTTTGTAACCATTCTTGGGTGGCGCGTGTTGAGTACTGTTGGAATGTCCATGTTCTGCGGCCAAAATGTTTGCGTGCCCTCCAGAATATTTTCGCGTTAATATTCGGCATTTATTCTGATGCCACGGTCGATTAATACAGCGGAGAGCGACCATCGGCTGTTATGGCGACCCTATTAACTATTTATGGAAATTATAACTATTTTCTGGAAATTTCTCACCAAATGCTCTTGGAATAATTTTAACAGCTGTCAGACAAGTGTCTTGGAATTTTTTATAATCTGCTGGATTTTGTGTTGAACGAATCGGCAGTATTTTGCTATGTAGCTGCCAAATATATTAAATTGAAGGTATACCACTAAGTGAATGAGAATTATATCTCAAGATTGAGTTTAATGATAATTGGTGAATCATAGAAGTTGCTATTTTTTAACTCCAGTAGATTTTCAAAGTTATTGAAAACCCATGGTAGAACATGTAGACAATTCATCAAAGCATTGCATTTTCTTGGTCACCAGGAACAAGTAAAAAATAAAACAGGATCAAATAATTATTTTTTAAAAATTTTGTTTTATTAAAATACTTTCAAACATGTCTTTGGAAACGAAACAATAAAAAAATTTAACAAATCGTTACATGATTTAGACACGTTGACGGAAGACACGACGACGGACAGTCTTGTAACGGTAACCATCATTGCCGAAATCAGCACCAGCAGAAGCACCACCGAATGAACCGGAAGAAGCACCACCGAAGGAACCAGCAGAGGCACCACCGAAGGAACCAGCAGAAGCACCACCGAAAGCACCAGCAGAAGCACCACCAAAGCTAGCACCGGAAGAGGGAGGAATGTAAGTGTTGGCTGGGGCAGCTGGGGGAGCATAGTTTTGGACTGGAGCTGGGGCAGGGGCAGCGGGAGGAGCATAGGTTTGGACTGGAGCAGGGGCAGAAGCAGCTGGGGGAATGTAGGTGTTGACTGGAGCAGCTGGGGGAGAATAATGTTGGACTGGAGCTGGGGCAGGAGCAGCTGGGGGAATGTAACTGTTGGCAGGTGCGCTAGCAGCGAAGCTGCCACCTCCTACAGCACCACCAAAGCTGGCACCACCAGAGGCAAAGCTGCCACCGGAAGCGAAGCTACCACCGGAAGCAAAGCTACCACCACTAGCAGCAGGGGCATTGTAGTCATAACCCAATTCGGAAACATCAGCCATAACTCCGGCCACCAAAGCCAAGGACAAAATAAAGAATTTCTAGGGAAGAGGCAGAAAGATACATTTGTTCAAATCCATTGTCCATTTTCTTCTCTTTTTTGTCAAATCTTACCATTTTTGCTTTTAGTTTTTTTGAGATTTAGTTCCTAACCGGAGAACAGCTGAAGAAGTTGTGATACCTTCTGCCATTAACGATTTTCATATTTATACTCAAAAATTCAAAATTGTTGCGAATCGATTTGTTAAGAACTCAACATCTCGATAAAATACATATGTATATATATTAACGGAAGTTGTCGCTTAGTTTTGAGTTTTGTTGTTGTTGTTGTTGTTGTTGTTTTTGCTTTTTTTTTTTGTTTCAAACCAAATTTTAATTTGACCTGGCGGGCTAATGTTTCAATGTAAAATTTATGTTCATGTATATTTATTTATGTATCTTCCTCTTTGCCATAATTATTATCACGCTTTTGTTTTGCCACATCTTTCTTTGGGCGAACGAACGAACGACAGATCGATCGTCAACTTGCCAGACTTCAGCGGACAGTAGCAGGGTCATTAACATGAGTGGTGTTTTAATTAAACCTAATCTTGGCTATTCCCAAAACTATACAACAATCAGACAGAGAGACAGATAAAACGCCAAAATGCGAATAATGAAATGTATATCATCGGATCAAATCAATTTTGGCCAATTTAAATGTGTAAACATTAAATTTATTTCAAATATAATCAAATGAAAAATTTCAAAAGAGTAGATTGCAAAAATAGTTATTAGGCTTTTCAATATTGAAGCCTACACCACAATGTGATGGGGGTACAATAAGACGACTTTGTTCCAAAAAGGTTCTAATGTCCATATACCCCCATTTATAATATACATTACCTTTTCTCTACATCAGCCTGTCTGTTAACCCTCGTTTTCCTTTTGAACCCGTTTTTATACCCTCATCGAAATAACGATTTTAGACCCTAGGTCTCTTTGGACCAAATCCGTTTCAGGACATTTGGAGTCGATCTAGCGATGTCGGTACGTCCGTCTGTCTGTCTAGCCGATTTGGTCCAAATTTGGTGCATCGTAATATTACTATTAAACTTAGATCGAGTTCGGAGATGGGCAATATAGGTCCACTTCTTCTGATACCTCTCTCACAAAACTTAAAAAAAAAACAAGTAAAAAAGCGAACATTACGAACAAAAACAATAAAATCCGTTTAAAATTCTGTTAAAATCTTAAAAATACCTTATGTAGCCGTATATTAGGGTCTGTACGACGACGTGGACCTGCATAGGCAACTTTTGTCATAAGCTATTACAATACAATATTATATCTAAAATCATCAAAATACTGAATACAGGGAGGTACCATGGGGGTTATAAAACGTGTACCTGCACAGACAATTTTGTGGCATAGGCTGCAGTATCCATTTCGAACTTCAAATAGCAAATTTGAAATAATTCCGGTAAATAATGTCGCTAAAATCATCAAAATACCGAATATCGGGAGGTACCGTTACATGGGGGCTATACGAAGACGTTGACCAACATGGTCCATTTTCTGTCTTAGCCCGTAGTATCTATTAGGAACTTCAAATACCAAATTTGAAACAATTCCGGTGAATAATGTCGCTAAAATCATCAAAATACCGAATATCGGGAGTTACCGTTATACGGGGGCCATACGAAGTCGTAGACCTGCACAGAAAATTATCTGTCTTAGGCTGAAGTATCCATTACGAACATCAAATACCAAATTTGAAAGAATTCTGATAAATTGTGTCGCTAAAATCATGAAAATACCGAATATCGGGAGGTACCGTTATACGGGGGCCATACGAAGACGTGGATCTGAAGAGACAATTTTCTATCTTAGGCTGTAGTATCCATTACGAACTTCAAATACTAAATTAGAAACAATTCCGGTGAATAATGTCGCTTAAATCATCAAAATACCGAATATCGGGAGGTACCTATATGGGGGCTATACGAAGACATGAACCTACATGGCCCATTTTTTGTCTTTGGCTGTAGCATCCATTACGAACTTCAAATACCAATTTTGAAACAATTCCGGTAAAAAATGTCGCTAAAATCATCAAACTACCGAATATCGGGAGGTACCTATTTGGGGGCTATACGAAGACGTGAACCTACATGACCCATTCTCAATACCAAAAGTCCTGCAGACATAATATACATTTGAAAAAAATTTCATCACTCTACTTCAATTCGTTCGGAAGCTATAGTTATTTCCACAGACGGATAGACGGACAGACGGACGGACACTACTAAATCGACATAGAATTTTGTGCTGATCAAGAATATATACACTTTGTAGGGTCTAAAATGTATACTTCGAGGTGTTACAAACGGAATGACAAACTTAATATTCCCTCCATACTATGGTGGAGGTTATAAAAAGTAGGCAAAGGCTATACTCGACCATGTGATACCCTACAACACTGCAATATGTTAGAAGCCTGCCCATGTCTAAATCCATTTTGGAAGATTTCGCTTTTGAAATTATGTCACATTGCCCAGATATTACCCTTATTACCCTTTTTTTTGGTTCATTTGAACCCCAAAATATTTTGCGATCATCTCTAAAAGCAAGAGGCCCTCTAGACTCATATCCATTATTTGCTTATCTACGATATTTGGCTATATTCGTCAACAAAATCAGCATAAAAGAGCCAGAAGTTCGCCTTTGTATGTATTTTCGTGAGGATCGGATGATAATTGCTATCTGCACTGGGTGAGATAAAACAAAAAACTGCAACAAAGTCAAACGCCATAATTTTTACATATTTTTTTATTTTCATTTTTCATATTATTGAATGAAAGCAAAAAAATTCGGAAATAGCATCAAATTTTAGGCTAAGTTAATATTTGTTCGAATTGGTCACCTTTGGCACGAATTATAGCCTTAAAACGGACAATGAAACCGTCACATGCTGCCCTGCGGTATTTTGGTCCATTCTTTGGTTTTTTTTTAGTACCAACCTTGCTTTCCAAAACAACTCTAGCCACAATAGTCCAACGGATTGGTATCCGGTGATTTTGGTGGCCACTGTGTTTGTTTACAAACTGCTGGACAACGAATGTTTTCTCATCGGGGAAAACCAAATTCGGCACAGCACTTCCGCCAAGCAAAGCAACTTTAGCTCTTTCTTGCACTTCTTACACTTTTGGAATTTCAATGGATTTACCCCGAGCTCATTTTTGAATATTTGCCGAATGGAATATTGCGATATGTCCAGCTCACGAGCCATTTTTCGGCCACTGCGACGCGGGCTTCGATCAAGTGGCTTCTTTACTTTTCGAACCATTTCTGCTATTGTTGCTGTTTTCTTCTGTCCTCTTCCTTGACGTCGGGCTACGCTACCAGCATCACGGTACGAGAAACAAAATATTTATTCACATTTAAATGTTGGAGTGATCTAACGAAATATAAAGAAATAACACCATCACGCTTCAGTCCCTGAACATGTTTTGATCATCTCCCCCAACAATAGGTTTATACTCTGATCTGAAATATTGAAATTAATTTATTTTAAAAATGATTTGTTATTTCCAGATTTCGAGTGAATGGGCCACAGATACATCGCAAAATGGGTTTGGCACAATATCCTCCCGGTCCTATTGGTTCTCCAGATGATCCTTTAGCCGATCCATTTGATGATCCCTCGTACAGCTTCAGTTTTCGAACACCGGATCAATCGCGCTCTGAAGACAATGATGCCACGGGACGAGTGAGAGGTAAGAGAGAGAATCTTAAAAACTTATCCTAATCTAATGTGTTGTCCTTTTTTTGGCAGGACTCTATTCATTTCTTGATGATGAGGGAGAACGTCACAGTGTCCGTTATGCTGCTGGTGCGGGAACAGGTTTTGAGGTGTCCAATGCTGTGCCAGACAATCCAGCCAGTGTTGGTTACACAAGTCCTTTGTACAAGGCACCACCCGGAACGAGAGGGAAAATGTCCGTACAAAGGGGTCCTGATGGAACATATAAGTTAATTGCTGCCGGCCCAGATCATAGACGTGCCGAAAGTAGGACACCAGATGGAGTGGTTAGAGGCACCTATTCCTTTCTCGATGACAAGGGTATTCAAAGAACTGTGGAATATATTGCCGGAGCGGGAATTGGTTATAGGGTGGTGAAGAATCGCATTGGACCCACCTCACATATCAATCCTTCTGTATCAGATTTTCGTCTAAGCGACACAAGTTTCAGGTTGGCCAATGATTTTGGTACTGGGGCTGGGGGAGGTGGTGGAGGAGGAGGCGGCAGTGGTGGTAGTTCGGGATCTGGTGGTGGTCGTGTAAGAGGTGGAAATAACCGTGTCAGGGGCGGAGGAGGAGGCGGAGGTGGAGATGACGATAGTGAAATGGAATATGTCTCGTCGGATAGCCGCCCAATTACAACCTCTTCCTCGGATGCGGATAATGACGACAATGAAATAAGCCTTGGAGATGATGGCGATTTTGATGAGGATAGTGTTAAAAATGATCGCTCAAATCCGAAAACCAAAACAGATCGTATGGGTACCATCAATCGTGGTAGGGGAGGCACAAGAAATCGTGGAAACACAAATATACGTGAAGATGATCTACTCGATCGAGAGCCAATGTCAGAACGAGATTCCCCTAAAATTCCCTCGAGACCGGGAAATAGAGGTCCCGGCAATCGTAATAGTCTGAACAATGAGGCAAGAGAAAGTAATCGCCGAAATCGCCCTCCCTCCAGAAATGGTGGAGGTGCTAGTGGTGGAAGAGGTGGAGTGGGAGGAGGAGGAGGTGGAAGCATTTCTTCGACAAGCAGCAACGGTTATGAATATAATCCTCCATCCAAAGGATCCTCCTCGCGCAATAACTATAACCCCAACGACGATGATATTGGCACAGCCCTGCCACCTCTCATCACTGCCAATCGTAAAATTTTGGAAATCGATAGAGATCGTGAATGGGTGGAGCATCATCGTGATTCAACTGTCATTAAAAATGTTGGAAAATGGTATATTGGCTTGCCACCGGGCCAGAGTGTTCGGGCCCATGTTCAAAATATTGACATATTACCATTGGGTGGTCGTCGGGTGCCCTCGCCATCGGAAGCCTTGCGCCAGGATGAATTGGCCGATATGACAGCCTCGTATGAGCATTATGACAGATCTCCCTATAGCAGTTAGTTTTTAAGACATACATACACACATAAATATACTTATTTATGCCGTTAGGTTAAGCGAAGATGGTGTGCGCATCAATGCTAGCTTTAGTTTTATAAGTTGAGACAATCACACATACATGCATACATTTAAGTGAACAAATGTAATTTTTTTTGGTATTCTTTTCCCCCAATTGGCAATGATACTTCTTTAATAAAGTTACAACGACAACAACAATAAACGAATAACTGCCGTTCTTTTGTTCTTGAAATTTTATATTTGTGTAAATTGTGAGAAAATGCGGTATTTGTTCGATTTTTGGCTATGAGAAGTTATATTCTTCTTTAATGTTATTTTTGACCATGAATTTGATGTTTGTCAAATTGTCGATTTAACGGCACCATGAACAGGGTCATTGCGGCTGCAGTGATATGTTGGGTAAATTTGGGCTCATTATTTTAGACAAATGAACTTTACGTCTAGCTTTCAGTTACATTGTAGTATAGCCTTGAAATCTATCTTAAATTTGAGACGTTTTCAATTAAGAACATGTCTAAATTTAATGTTTGAATAAAAGAAGGAATAATTAATTTTGCAAGCCATTGATTGATTTAACAATGCTACTCTCATTGAATCAAACAATACATTGCCATACAAACAATGGGTGACATCTGTTGATATAAATATGAATTAGTCTATTCTTTAACAAAGAGATAACCATTTTTTTTTTCAATACACCTGAAAGTATGCCACGCTTTTGGAATTTTCAAATTAAGTGTAGTTGGCAACATTACATAAACGTATGAATGAATAGATTTTCATAAGATGAATTAACAAGCAAAAAAGCTGTGAGTTCGGCCAAGCCGATCTTTGAATACTCTCCACCCTTTGGAAGGAATTTGGCAATTTTCAGTAAAATAAATTCCGTTAAAAAATATGTTAAAATCTTTTAAAATACCGAATGCAGCCGTCATATAAGGGTCTATACTAAGACGTGAACCACCATAGGCAACTTTTGTCATAAGCCATTACAATATTCAAATGCGAAACATGAAAGAAAATTCGACGAAAAGTGTAGCTAAAATCATTAAAATACCGAATATCGGGAGGTACCGTTATATGGGGTCTATACGAAGACGTAGACTTGCACAAACAATTTTCTGTCATAGGCTGTAGTATCCACTACGAACTTCAAATACTAAATTTTTAACAATTCCGGTGAATAATGTCGCTAAAATCATGAAAATGCCGAATATCGGGAGGTACCGTTATATGGGGTCTATACGAAGACGTAGACCTGCACAGACAATTTTCTGTCATAGGCTGTAGTATCCATTAGGAATTTCAAATACAAAATTTGAAACAATTCCGGTGATACCGAAAATAGGGAGGTACGCCCTACATAGCCCATTTTCCATATCAAAAGTCCTGCAGACATAGTATACATTTGAGTAAAGTTGTACCAACCTATTTCATTTCGTTCGGAAGCTAGAGTGATTTCCACAGTCGGAGGGACATCGCTAAATGGACATAGAAAATATATATACTTTGTGGAGTCTAAAATGTATGTTTTGATGTGTTACAAAAGGAATGACAAACTTAATATACCCTCCATACTATGGTGTAGGGTATATAAAATCTGTTAACGGACGGAGAAATCTACATACACGACAAGTTTGTTTTAAGGGATAAAGAAAGTCAAACAGGGTAAATTTAACATTTATATGATCTTCCCTCCTATAAACCCATATTTCCGTCCGGCAAACTTCCAAGCGTGTTTGAAATGTTAACACCTATCAGAGAACCAAAATTTAAAAAGACTTGACAAAATACATTTTTAGTTACGGTTGGCATAAAAATCGACAGGAAAAAATTGCATTTTTGAAACCCCTTTCCCGATAAATGTAGTTCCCAACATTGAGTGAGATGACATGTTTTTTTTACCCTCTACCATACATAGTATAGAGGGTATGGGGGCTTATATTCGATATTCGGTATTTTTTATTGATTTTTAATGGAATCGTCGAAAATTATATACATAGAGTTCTTTGTTAGTATTTTACCCCCTGAAACTCTATATCGGTTTATTGATGATTTTAGCCACAATTTTCAATGGCATTTTCGTATTTGAAATTCGTAATTAATACTGCAATATATAACGGAAAATTGTCTATGCAGCTCCACGTCTTTGTATAGCCCCCCATACAACGGTACTTCCTTTTATTCGGTATTTTGATGATATTAGCGACATTATTCACCGGAATTATTAAAAATTTCGTATTTGAAGTTAGGAAACGTTACTGCAGCCTATGACAAAAAAATTACTTATCCAGCACCACGTCTTCGTATAGCCCCCCATATAACGGTTTTCATCTAAGTAGTACTTTTCAACGATTTTTTCTTTCTTTTTTGAAATTTTGCAAGTTTCTTCCGAATGGTACCTCTCCTTTCGTTCCTTCTGGTACCTCTCCCACAAAAATTCAAAATACTCAAAGAAAACAATTTAATTCATAAACCGAGAAAGGATCATCCAATTTCATTCCATCTTTGCAAATCTTAATATTTCTTTTAGTACTAGGTAAGGTAATAAAATGGGTAATATCGGTTTACTCCTTCTATTACATTCCTTACAAAGGGCCAAAATTTTGAATAATCGCAACGTCTATATAATGGGAAATAATAGTTCGGACCACTCCTGCTGGTACCCCTCCCACAACGGGTCCATTACTTGTACTTCAAATAAATCCTCTTATAGTATAAAATCTATTCAGATTAGGAAATATTTCCCACACCGCTGTAAAACTGATGTACGAATTCAATAACGATCATTGGTGGTATAATATACTTTACATAATTTCGAATACTTGTTAGGGTAGCTTTGCTATATATCCTTGTACTTTTGTTCTTACTGGTTGTAGGTGTTATAGTGAGATTTATAAATATAGTTGTTTGAGTACTTCAGGACAGTTAAAAAAACCAATTAACAACCCTTGCATAATTTTTTCAAAGATTCTCGTTATCTCGATATGAAACAGCATAAAAAATACAAAAAAAAAAATTGAAAGATCTTTATAAAAAATATTCACATGCATATACATTTTATTCTTTTCTGGCAAGAGACTTGTGAAAATCAGTCCAGGGGTTCTTGACTTATCAGCGGTCTAACTAACATCCCCTTCTTTGATATATGAGATTGTATATATTTTACTACATTATATGCAAGATCTTGGATATGAGCATTAATATAACGGTCAGAAGTGATATTGTCGTGCATTTGTGATATTCTCGGTTTAGTGGAAGTTTTCGTATTTTTTACATAAAAGTTATGGTCTATTTTAAACAGGTCTAAAACCTAAACTCTATCTCTAACTAATTGTGACCTGTAGATCAACAGAAAAATCAAGTTTTTTTTGGTCCATTTCAACCCTTAAATATTTTTCGATCATCAAAAACAATTTTTGACAATTCTGACCCTAACCCCACCTCCATGACAAATTTCATGTGATTCGGGCCACAATTGCGACCTGTAGATTGATTATAAATTAACATGGACAGACGGACGAACGCACATACATAGCTAGATCGATTCAGCTCGGCGAGATAGGAAGATCCATATATACTTTCCTATGTGGGAAACCAATATTTCGAGGTGTTACATAATTTTTGGCCCAATCAAACTTATAATACCCCCAACACATAGTGTTGTAGGGTACAGACAAGTTCCTAATTTATTTTTAAAATAGTTTACTCATATTTTATATTTGTTATATTTTTTAACAAGTAAAGAAACATTAACTTCAGCCGGGACTAAACTTTGTTACTCTCCACCATTGGGTAAAGATACATTTTTATATAAAAGCATCAGAATTCAAACGTAGTCTACTTTAAACTAAAAACACCAATAAAAACGTCTGGACAAAGCTGTTTAACTTTTCAAAAAAAAAAAAAAAACATAAAAAACATATATATTGGCCATACCAAAACGGGAACCTTTATAGACAATTTTATACTTTAAAGATTGTCATCTACAAAAACTTCTTAAATACCAAATTTGATGTTTTGCCCACAGATCTAGAACCCATTCTGAACTACAAATACTAATTTTTAGATAAATCCGTTGAAAAATTTGGCAAAAATTATCAAAATACTGAATATCGGAAGGTGCCGTTATATGGGGGCTGCACCAAAACTATGATTGATATATCTAATTTCCGAAACCAATCATCATAGCCACAAGAAAAATTGTTGTGCAAATTTTGAAGCTTTACGTCAAATAATGTGAGCTGTATCGTGATTTCAACAGACAGACGAACATCGTTAAATCAACTTAGAATTTCATGCTGAAGGTGAAGGTATGCTTTACTTACATGTTACATTTGTTTTATTTTAAAAACAAGTAAGCAAAGGCTACAGTCGAGCGGGGCCGACCATGTGATACCCTACAACACTGCAATATGTTCGAAGTCCTCTTATATCCAAATACATTTTGGAAGATTTCGTTTTTGAAATAATGTCAAAGAGCCCCGCCCAGAGGTTAGCCTTAGTTTTTTGGCCCGGAGAATTTGGCAAAAGTTGTGGTCCATTTTACAGCTAAATATAATCCAATGGTCATTCAAAAAGCTAATCTTCTTTCCTGCCCTTAACTCTCTTCCGATGCGAAATTCCGTGTCGATTAGTTTCAATTGTGGCCCATAGAGCGACTACAAAATAGGAAAAAATAATTTTTTTAGTCCATTTGCACCTCTAAATGTACATCTTAAGAACAATAGGCTTTAATTCTGACCCTAACCCTACCTCCATGCCAAATTTCGTGAGGATCGGACGATAATTGCGACATGTATATAATACCCTCAAAACGTAGTGTTGAAGGTAAACATTTAGAAAATTTACAATTCAAAATTGTAAGTCAAATTGAAAAAATCGCATGCGATAAAAAATATGTCAAAAAATATTCACTTTTTTATTGGTATATTTTTCCGCGATTTTCTTAGATTTTCTGCTTTTTGGCAAAAGACCATTTCGAATTGATGGGATTTGTGAAAATCGGCACAGCGGTTTTTGATACCTATTTTGCTATATACCCGATTTCTTGGCTATTAGCATCACTGTAATGTCAAAAGTGATCTTTTAATGTATTACTGGCTTGGCTGGGGTTGAAAATATTCGCGGTTTAGTGGAAATTTTCCTATTTTCTTA